TGATTGCACTTCTTCAAGATATTTATACAGAATATTCAATTCCTTTACAGATAAGTTGTAAAGAGGCTTATACAGCACTGTTACATTATCTTCAAGATAAATCTTATATCATATCTTGATATCAGGAAACTTCACTGCTTTTCTTTTCAAAAAGATATTCTTAAAATCTGTAAAGAGATATCATATACATTCATCTTCAATGACAGATACTGCTGCTAATCTTGCAGTGAGAGTGATGATTTCTTCACCTGTCTTCAAGTCTTAATCACCTGCTACACAGTATATTGACTCAATCTTTTTCTCAAGATTCTTCTGATGAAACTCTTCAGATTTCTCTATCACTGTCTCTTCATTAGTAAGACAGTATCATCACACCTGAGTGACTCAGTCAATGAGAGAATTGTTTTCTCTCAATCACAGAAGATCTAGAATAATGTTCTTATCTATTATATTAACTGTGTGAAGAAGCAGACTGCTCTTCTTAAAGATTTCTTCAGAGTCTGTGATCACACACTTCACTTGAATTATGCTAAAACAGTGACATTTCATTTTATCAGTAAATTTCACATAGTCTGACAGATCTATCTTCTTTCAACTCTTTATTAAAGAAAAGAAATAGAATATGAAGTTGATATTCACTCTGAAGTCAAGTAAACATCTCACTGATATCTTCTTATTCAGAGTATATATTGTAATTATAACATAAACTCAGAGATATGAGAATTATCAATTCTTTTCTTTCTCTTCTTTATCTTTCATGAATACATTTACTAGAAGAGAAGTTAACTTTGAGAAGATGTCTTCTCAGTTTCTTTTCTTCTTCAGCTTCTTACAATCACTAACATAGTAATCATCAGCTCTGCAGTTGAAACAGAGATCTTTATCAAATCTTTTTTAATATTTCTTCACAGTGAGTGAAGAATCAGAACACTTGAAATTCTTCTTTACTTTCTTCATACTGAAGTTATCATAGTGCTGTTTAGATCTCATCATTGATTACTTAGAAGAGATCTTGTTAATCTTTTTCTCAGAGAATTGATTATTTAAATAGATCTGAGAAGCCAGGTTGACAAGCTCAGTATAATTAATTAATAAACTCTGATATTATAATATCATTATCTGCATCTTATGAGTCAGCTTCATGAGATAAAGCTGTGTTTTTAATTAATTCAAATCATCAGTCAATTCCTCTCAATATTCTTCAAATCTTGTATTGAAATCAGAAGAATTCTCATTATCTTATTAATATAATGAGTTGAATCACTGCACTGCTGTGAAGCTGTGATTACAGTAATCTTCAATTTGATTCAGTAGAAAGTTCTTGAATTCTTCTCAAGTCATGACAGTATTGATACACTTAAGCTCTCTCTTCTTGATAACTCAAGTAGTTGCAGAGATGTCTTCAAGAAGATTGACAGTGTATATTACTTATATCTCATGAGTATTATACTGGCTCAGGTTAAGATGGAATTTCTGTTCAAGAGTATAAGTAAAGCTGTGAAATTCAGATAAGATGTTTTCCTTATATCTCAGAGAATCTCTGATCTTAATCTCTCTATCTCTATAATAGATGTAGGTGTGTAGAGGCTGTGACAGTGACAGAGTGATTGAAGAGCTCATATCAAAATGTGCAGTGAGTTCAGAAATCTCAGATTTCTGCTGAGATAGAGATGTACACACTCTAGGGAATGATATAGTGTTTCTCTCAGAGAGTGAGATTAGATTGATCTCAGCACAGATGCATGAAGTCATATCAGTCAGTTAGAGCTTGACTGATTCAAACATATAATCAGATTAAGTGATTTAAATTATAACATGACAGAACTGAAGTAGTGACTAGTCAGCAGTATTATATAGAAGTTGTTATTTAAGAAGCTGTATGAGTGAGCTTGACTATCTTACTTGAATAGTGAGCTTATAGACTACAAGATTATTGCAAGAATATCACAGATATGATACTTAGTATACTAAGAAGATTGTATAAGACACACAGTAACTCTCATATATATTTCAGTAGAAGAAAAAGATGAATTACTGACTTCTTTGATAAGGAGTCAGTATCTAGCTATTCTATATAGACAATGAGTGAATACTCTTCTCTTATTTCATGAGTAAGAATAGCTGAAGTGATACCTCAGCAGCGTCTCATTGTCAAGAAAGAGTAATCTGCTGACCTTGTATAGAAGTGAGGTTCTTATACTCATCAATCGGATCTTCCTATAATACATCCACATGATGTCATAGGGTGGTTGGAAACCGGTTCGGACGGCCTGCGGGATGGATGGAATCATCCGCATGGAAGCGATGGGCCGTGTGGAACCGCAACGAGGCCTTGGCGCGGCCGGGAGCGTGACAAGAATATCAAAACTGATAATTTATCTGCATTGGATTCCTGCTCATATGAATATTCATGGCAATGAATTGGCTGATTCAGCTGTAAAAAAGGGTTCAGAATTAAGCAGATCTATTCAAAAAACAGTGTCCTGATCTTTTATAAAGAGAAAGATAAAAGAATCTTGTTTAAACAAGTGAAATGAAAGCTGACAGAAACAAAAGAATAGTATACATTATTCAAGATTTAAGACAAAACCAAAGTGAAAATCTTGTTCAATTAAATGTAAAAAGAAAATATTCTCATCTATAATTCAGCTGAAACTAGAACATGGTTATTTCAAATCTTATATACAAAGATTTGATGATAGATTTGATTCAACAGAGTGCTCATTCTGCAATATAAATGAAAATCCTGAGTATATTGTAATGCATTGTGCATTATACAATAGTCTCAAAGTCAGATTAAAGAAGAAGTATGATTTAAATCAATTAAATATAAGGTTCTTATTCTCAACTGAGACAGGAACTAAATACTTAATAGACTTTCTATCAGAAACTAGAGCAGCTATAAGAAAATGACTGAATTCAGAAGTATCTGAATATGAAGAGGTGGAAATTAACTAGATATAGTCTGTTAAAACAGCTATACATCATCTTTTAATAATTTTATTTTGTTATAGTCTCTCTTTACTGTACTTGTTTCCTTCTGTTCTTTTCTCTATTTATTTAATGTGTCTATCTTTAAGACTATGTTCTCTTTTCTTTTATCATAATATTTTCAAATGATTTCAAACTATCAGAAGGTGTTGAAATACTGCAATTTGTAAACAGTTTTTGTATTCTGAGCTGAAATTTTCTGATTTTGCATATTTGAAATTGATAAATGTATAATAGTTGACTCTATAGATATAGGAAAAACCCTGAGAACTAAAGATTCTCAGGTAGATGTCATAGTCTCTGACTGCATACATCTATAATTGAAGAATAATAATAATAATAATTAAGATCTTAATGTCAAAGTCAGGAATAAATGTTGTAAGAGAAGTGTTTCTCTGTTAAATACTCTGTAATTAATCTAACATCTTCTGTTGCATGGCAGTGTCTCAGAGCAGAATATCAAGATATTTCATAATATTATCAGATATTTATAACACTGGTTCATATACTTTCATTCATGAATAAAACTTCTGTTTTATATAATTCTTCAATTGTTCATTGATATATCAATCTTAATTAGTTAATGAACTGATAACATCTTCATCTACACTCAGTTTTACAAGTATTTTCATTCTTCATAATGAGTAGAGAGTGATATTGAAAGTATTAAAATATGTGAGAGTATCTAAGTATTCTTTTAATACTTTTATATTCAAATCTGTAGATGTTGAAATCACATGAGTTCTGTGGCAGGCTGCGCCCGATCAATCATATAGACTATTCCATTACACTCCATAGATTCTTCCATTCCCGATCGCCGATCCGCGGCCGCTACGAACGCGTACACTCCGATCCTCGGCCATTCCCGATCGCCGATCCGCGGCCGCTACGAATGTACACTCCGATTCTCAGCCATTCCCGATCACCGATCCTCGGCTGCTATGAACACGCGTATATTCTTCTGCCCCGAAGCTCCACCACGTACACCATCACATACACATATAAATATTCACCTCAATCACTGATTCTCGCACTTTCTCTTCTTTTCTTCTCTAACATTTTTATCTTTGTTATATAAGACCTATCAATATTATACTGATCTATTCAGCGTAGGCCTCTTACACTATAAAAACATTCATCATCTTCTTATTAGAAATGATTATTCATCAAGAGATATTCAAACACATAACAATGCATAAGAAATAGAGAAACAGTCACACAGTTAAGTGAACACTAAGTTCTCAGATAGAAGCTTGCTCACCAGTCACTCTGACCCTGCAACAAGATCTTACAAAGAGAATAAGATCTTACATATAAGAGAATATCAGTGAAAGACTCAAGAGTTCTGACACTCAGATATATAAGAATACAATTACACTTCTTCAGATTTCACAGATATTATATATTTAACAATCAATATAATCATGTCTAACAATAATATAGAACTCTTGAACATGAGCATAGACACAGTATCACAGTGACTCTGAGTAATGTTGAAACTACAACAACAATAAATAGCTGATATGCATGCAACTTAACAACATTAATATGAAGAGATTCAACAATTATCATAACAAGAAACTCATGCAATTTCAACATTTACAGAATTGAATATAAAAGCACTGAAAGAACACTTAGATGCTCTCATATATTTTAATACTTCTGATCTCACTCTCTACTCATCATGGAGAATGAAAATGCTCATGAAACTGAGTGTAGATGAAGATTTCATCAGTTCATTAATCAATCAAGATTGATATATCAATGAACAATTGAAGAATCATATAAAATAGAAGTTTCATTCATGAATGAAAGCATGTGAATCAGTGTTACAAACTTCTGATAATATTATGAAACATCTTGATATTCTGTTCTGAGACACTGCTATGCAACAGAAAGCATTAGATTGATTACAGAGTATCTGACAGAGAAACACTTCTCTTATAACATTCATTCCTGACTTCAACACCAAGATTCTAGAAGCAGGTGATCAGTCTTGAGAGAATTGAATGAAGATTAGCATGCTTAAGAAGACATTGACTTTCAAACTCTTACAGGCTCTTGTAAGTGCAGATGAAGACTCAACTTATGAAGACTTCTACACACAGCTCTGAATAATAAATGATCATCTTATCAAGCTCAAGAATATACAGAACAGTGACAGAAGATGTTACATCTCAGTGACTTATACACTTATGTCAAGAAATAACAATGATACAGATGCTATGAATTGAGTAGACTCAAATGTCTATACACAAGCAAGAATCTCTGCCATCTGAACAGGCTTCTGAGTTCCTGAGATCACTTCTGAAGAAGTCGCTGATCAACATCAACATAGAGTGTGTATTAACTGTAATCAATCAGAACACATTGCTTTCAACTGCTGATCAACCTATGTGCCTTCTTATTCAAAGAATGAATCAGCGCCTGTCCGCGCCAACCACATTGCATTAGAGAAAGATTCAGAGAATAACTATAAGAATACTCTGATGAAACAGAGAAAAGATTAGCTTCTATTCAAATTCATAAACAGAAGCTTGAAGAGATCAAACAACAACAATTTGAAGACAAGATGACAATGAATGTGATTCTTGTATTCACTGTGATTAATAACATGTATAATATGAAGACCATGATAGACAGTGGTCTATGCTACTATGCAATGATAAAATCTTCAGTCATAAGATGTTATAATCTTCAGCATATCCCTCTATTAAAACCTCAACTTCTCACAGAATTTGATGATTCAAAAGACATTTGTACTCATTACATGATGAAGCTGATCATAGATGTAGAAGAACATCAATGTGAAGATGTCTACATATATAAAGTTGATAATCTTGATTATAATCTTATGTTAGAACTTGTCTGACTATCTGAATAAGACATCTTATTAAATGCTTGAAACAGAAGCTTGATATTTCCTAACAATGATAGAGTCTATGAAGATGACATTTACAAGATCATGGATCTGACACAGATCTCTGCCAATGCATATGAAATACTCTGAAAAAGAAGTCATTATCAAAATCACTGATAGAGTCACTGACAGTAAGACCATGTATCAATCTATTCTGTCAGTCTGACTGATATTAAAAAGACTCTAGAAAAGTTATTCTATGTTATAATAACAGATTCTTATACAAAACTCTCTTAATAATATCATGAATATCTAGATATCTTCTGATAAGATAATATTATGAACATACTTCTCTTACAAGATTCTGAAGTGAATCACAGTATCAAGTTAGAGAAAAAGAATGATAAGAACTCTGAACTGTCATAGAATTCTCTTTATAACATGTTCTGAGATGAACTTCTTCTTCTTCAAAAGACACTCAATGATCTGTTGAATAAAGAATTCATATATATTAGCAACTTCTTCACTGCAGCCTCTATTCTCTTTGCAAAGAAACCAGGTGAAGAACTCTGATTCTGTGTGAACTACTGAGATCTGAACAGATTGACAAAGAAAGATTGATATTTCTTACCCCTTATCAATGAAACTCTAGCATGAATCAGATAAGCTCAATGATTTATAAAACTAGATATTATCACTGTGTTTCATAAGATTCATATCACTGAAGAAGATGAATGACTTACAGCATTTCAAACACATTATAGTCTCTTTGAATGAATAGTCACACTCTTTGAACTGACTAATACTCTCAGTACATTTCAGAAGTATATTAACTGAGCACTCTGAGACTTTCTTAATAAGTTTGTATCTGCTTATCTAGATGACATTCTCATCTTCACTGATGAATTCAGAAAAGAACACTAGAAATATATGCAAAAGATATTACAATGACTACAAGAAGCAGAACTATCAATAGATATTAACAAGTGTGATTTTGAAGTCAAGAGTACCAAGTATCTGAGTTTTATTATAGAAGCTGATAAAGAAATTTAAATGAATTCTGAGAAAGTCTTCATCATTCTTGAATGAAAAGCTCCATGTACTGTGAAAGATGTACAAAGCTTCATCAGATTTACTAACTTCTATCAGCAATTTATATAAAACTTCTCAGATATTGTGAGATCACTTACAGATCTTACTAAGAAAGACTCAGTATTTCAATGATCAGTGAACACTGAAGCTGCATTTACACAGATAAAGAAGATATTCATCAATACTTCTCTGCTGATAATATTTGATTCTGATCATGAGATAGTTGTTAAAGCTGATTTCTCTGACTACATAACAGAAGAAGCAATATTGCAATATAATAATGAAGATATTCTATGATCATGTGCTTTCATATCTAAGAAACTGAGTTCTGCTGAATGCAATTATGAGATCTATGATAAGAAACTTCTTACAATTGTATGCTGTTTAGAAGAATGAGACTCTGAACTCTGAAGTGTCTCTGAATTTGAGATAGTCACAGATCATAAGAACCTCAAATACTTCACAACTACTTATAAACTTATCAAACAACAGATGTGATGATCTGAGTTTCTAAGCCACTTTCATTTTACAATACACTACTGTTCTGGCAGTCAGAACTCAATGACAGATGCCTTCTCATGACAAGAGCAAGATATATCATCTGATGTAACAGATACTCACTGAATGAACTAAGAGCATCAGCTCTTAAACTCAAAGATATTAATTAATTAAGATAGAACAGCTCACAGCATCATACATGCTTCTCTAATTAGAACTAATATTGATATCTTCACTTTCTCTACACTGAATAAACTATGGTATATGACAGCTCAGACTGATGAACTTCTTCAGATTCTCACTGAAGCAGTATATCAAGAAGCACTCTGATTTCCCCCAGAACTATATATCAGAATCAATATCTCAGAATACTCAATTGATAATAATAACACTCTACAATTTCATGAACAATACTGAGTCTCTCACTCTGAATTCTTACACACTCAGATAATACAAGAGATGCATGATTTGTGTATAATCAGTCATTCAGACTGTGAGCAACTGTATAGAATGATCTCTCAAGAATTCTACTGATCTGAGATATTAAACAGCATCAGATGCTTTATCTGAAACTGCAATCACTGTTCTTCTATTATCTCATGAAAGAACTGTAGAAAAGATCTACTGAAATCACTTGATATCTCTGATAGAATCTGATGAGATATAGTAATTGACTTCACTGTTGACCTATCTGAGAGCAAGAGCTGCAGAAACATTCTGATCATTATTGATCAACTGAGTAAGAGTGTAATATTGAAATCTTATGATAAGATGAACACTGAATAAGTCATTAAAGTCTTCTTACAGAGTCTATTCTATCAGATATATGAATTACTGAGATCAATAGTATTGAATCAGAGCTGTCAATTTGTGAGTACTCTCTGAACAAGAATCTGTCAAGTTCTCAAGATTATATACTGTCTATTAACTGTCTATCACTCTGAGACTGATAATGCATCAGAATGAATAATTCAGACTGTAAAGAATTATCTTTATAAGTTCTGCAATCACTTATAAGATGATTGACATGATCTTCTTCTACACACAGAGGTCACTATCAACAGTCAAGATGCTATTTCAACAGGTATAAGCTCATTCTTCCTTACATACAGATATCACATGAAAGTGTTGAATCTTCTAGAGATCACACAGTTCACACTGAACCTCTGCAGTCTGATTCAGATTACTGATAATATAGTAACAAAGCTCTGAGACACCTGCAACTGAGCAGAGATCTTCATGACAACTGCAAAACAAGATCAAGAAGATCAAATTAACATCTGACAAGATTTCACAGAGCAGTATAAGATAGAAGATCTTGTGTGATTAAATCTCAAGAATATACAAATCATACATTCATCTCATACACTAGACTATCATCATGTCAGGTATAAAGTGATAGAAGTTCTAGATAGTCACAACTACTATCTTGACACATCATCAGAGATTCATGATGTATTTCATACAAGCTTGCTCTGCTGCGCTGTCACTGACCTGTTCTCTTCTCAGCTGACTTCTGACTGACAGTCACCAGGCATCATAGAAGAAGATAATGAGCTTGAGTGAGAGATTGAAGACATTCTTGATGAGAGATCCCACGGCTGTGGCCAACAATATCTGATGAAATGAGTCAGCTACAATCAATCAACCTGAACTCTGAGTTCTGTGTTATCTGAAACAGCGGCCCTTGACTGATGAGAACTGCTTCTGAAAAGGGGGGACTAATGTGGCGGGCTGCGCCTGATCAATCATATAGACTATTTCATTACACTTCATAGATTCTTCCATTTCTGATCACTGATCTGCAGCCGCTATGAACATGTACACTTCAATTCTCAGCCATTCCCAATCACCGATCCGCGGCCACTACGAACATACACTCCGATTCTCAGCCATTTTCAATTGCTGATTCTCAGCTGCTACAAACGCGCGTATATTCTTCCATCTCAAAGCTTCATCACATACATCATCACATACGCGTATAAATATTCACCTCAATCACTGATTCTCGCACTTTCTCTTCTTTCCTTCTCTAACATTTTTATCTTTGTTATATAAGACCTATCAATATTATACCGATCTATTCAGCGTAGGCCTCTTACAAGTTCTTTATTAAGTTAATTATTAAATCTCTTTGTATTGAAGTTGTTAAGTTGCATGCATATCAGCTATCTGTTACTGTTATAATTTTAATATTACTCAGAGTCACTGTAATATTACTTCTATACTCATGTTTAAGAGTTCTCTTATATTATTGATAGACATGTCATTCATTGAGTGTATAATATCTGTGAAATCTTGAAGAAGTGTAATTATATAAATATCTCATATATTTAGATATTAGAACTCTCAGATCTTTCACTGATATTCTCTTATAAAATCTTACTCTCTTCATAAGATCTTATTACAGAGTCAGAATTAGACTGGCTGCTGAGATCATGAATTTCATATTTAATTTTATTTAGTCTGGTCTCATACATTTCTTGATATGAATCTCACTGAGACTGACTATTAAAAAAACATGTAAAGTGACTATATATCAGATCTTAAAATGAAATCATGACTTGAAAAAAAAGAGAAAGTGATCTCATTTAATTTCATTTAGTCTCATTCTTGATATAAAGTTACTATTTTTAGACATTTTAAGGTTTTTTTTAGACTATTTTTAATTTTTTAAAAAGTAACACTTTTTGATAACACTCAAATAAGATTTAAAGTCATTTAAAGCAATAAAAATAATTTAAATTGAGAAGTAGAAATCATGATCTTATTTAAAAAATATGATAAGAGTAGACAGTAAGTTTCACTGAGACAGTATAAGACTACTATCTAATGTTAAAACTATGTAATGAGATTAGTTAAATTAATAATGAAACTATTAAAAAATCTGATTCTGATCTCAGACATGATCACACGGTCAGTCTAGTCAGAATGACTAGTGAGTAAGCTTCTATCTAAGAACTTAGTATCTACTTTAACTAATTATTTCTCTTTCTTATATATTATTACACATTCAGATATCTCTCAATGAATAATTATTTCTAATAAGAAGATAATATGTGAATAATTATTTCTAATAAGAAGATAATGAATATTTTTCTAGTATAAGAGATCTATACTGAATAGATCAGTATGATATTAATAGATCTTATATAATAAAGAGAAAAATATTAGAGAAGAAAAAGAAAGAGAAAGTATGAGAATCAATAATTGAAGTGAATATTTATACATGTATGTGATAATATACATAGTGAGAGTTCAGAGTGAAAGAATCTATACGCATTTATAGTAGCTGAGAATCAGTGATTGAGAATGAGTTATAACTGAGAATTAAAGTGTATATATTCAAGAATAAAGCAGTTGAAATCTGTGAAGTGTAATGAAATAGTCTATATAATTAATCGGGCGCAGCTTACTACACTGTTCAAGATAATAATTACAGCTCAAGCAGCTCTCATTCAGAGATATTATATATATACATTGACTGTGTTAAATATCTTCTACTTCTAGTAATTAGTGCAGATTCAAGTAAGTGTAAGAATAAGTACTCACAGATGATT